TAATTCAAAAGTTATATATCACTATCACAAATAATATTCACGAGATTAAGTAACCTCGAGATTTCCAGAATAAACGCAATCTCTTTTTCACAGATATGCGATAAAATTATTGAATCAATTGCGCGCCCGAGAGACCCATCAGGGACAAAACGTCTTGTATTTAACTAATCGAACAATCAATTTTTTATCAGTTAGTTCAACAAAAATGTAAATCATCGAGGTGATGATTTTTAAAGTGATCAGTTACAATGATAAAAAGCTCCAATGCCATATAGGGATTATTAAAGAGATTGTTTTGTTTTGTAGCACTAAGGGGAAAGCCGAAGCAAACGATTTTGAAAGTCTAGGTGCTAATATTTGAGCTTGGATTAAAATTATTGCTCGCTGAGGATATGAATTAAGCATATAACAATTCAAAATTCAATGGTAAAAAACTAAGGAAATGTTGATAACTACTGATTATAAAACTTAAAACACTTAAACAGCCAGCGAGAGAACCTAATGTTTACTGCGTGAAATTCCCGAGGCTGTTATCGAAAAAACTAATTGTGCACTTGTAATATCCGGTTCTATATGTAACTTGGAACATTCAATAAAAATCTCGTTTAGATTTCAAGAAATCTCAGTTTTTCCAAATCAAGAAATTGAGATGAAATGATCGATAAGCAATACAGATGGTACACCGAAAACTCATTTAACCCAGTGTCTGTGGATGATAATATCAAACTGATCCTCTCAAAACAAACCTAGCCAAAGTAATTATATGAAGTAGAGCTGGAAAAGGAAATTTATACTTCGATTGGGATGCAATGCAGGCCTTCCAGTATGTTATTGCCTAGAGATGCCTTTGCTGTAATTATGGATGCTGCAAGAAAATGATGGCCATTTTACTAAAGAAAATATTTGAGACACTCGGAAGAACCTGCATCAAACCTAAGGCTTCATTACGGAATTTTTTTTACAGAAAGCTGTGTCTCATTTTTAGTTCACAACTACAAAAATCTTCTTAATTATGAAAACATACTTATAATGCGTGTATTGTTTCAGCGCGACACCTGTGACCTTTAGATGAACCTCTTGTGATTTTCAAAGGAGAGCTGTTCTAACGCGTCTGAACAACCTTCCAAACCATGAACAACCTTAATGTGTTCATCATCTTTTTGATGGAAGCTGTGATCCACTCCATATGGCCGGCCCAATGTTTCTATATCGGGGATGGTAGGTTTGTTTTTTTACCATTTTAATTGTGTATTTGTTTTGTGCTGTATGTTGCTTCAATCATGCAGTCGAGGGACTTTGCTGACAAATATATCTAACTACATTGACAATCTTATTATAAAGATTATACTCATTAGAAAACCTAAGCTTATATTGAAGCACCATGTTTATCAAAATGTTGTGTTAAGTTGCAAAACACACCTTCAGTTTGAAAATCGATGAATCGCGATCTTGCGCATCATCAAGAGAGGGTCGGTATGAATATTTTATCGAATTCCCAACTGCTCAGTAAATATTTTCGGAAACCAATGTCTTTTGCTCCGCTTATCTTAAAATTTCAATCATATGTTTCACTGAATTGTGAACTTGTTGAAAAGTTAATTAATACATTCATTTCATATCATCGTTTTGTCTTAAAGTGGGTACAAATCGGTTCATTAAAACCCAAGTGGGTCATTCGCTAATAGCAAACCATCATAGGTCTAAGAACTTGACAGACACACATCTTCGAAAACTCTTTGAGTTGGGCGCCGAGACACTTTACAATCGAGACTGAATGTGACCGAAGGCGTATCAGCGTTTAGTAATCTAGATGGTGATGGCTTATAGGAATTAGCTTTCAAACAGCCCTTGTTCAGTTGTATTAAGGAAAGAATGTCCCTTAATAAGAACGTATTTAAGATTCTGAAACCAAACTAATCAACTATAACTCACTGGTATGTTCAAATTTAAAATCTTAGCATTAGCGCTTGAGTTATGTAAATCGGTATTTTAGAGATCAAACAACAATGAGGTTATGCGGCTGGCAGATATGTCTTACAGCCAGCTTAAATGGCATCACACAATGCAGGAGAGAAAGAATTTTTTGAGTTCGAATCAGTGATAAAAAGGCCGTCTTCATGATGTTACTTCTTGAGTTTATTTAAGGCACTGTCAGATTTTCCTCCAGCACTACGACCAACAGATAATCCTGTATCAATATTATTGTTAGAATTCATGTGGGAGGTTGAGAAAAAAAACAATTTATCGACCTTGATACCCGATAAGGTATATAAAGACTCCGAGTTGAACAGCGTTACAGAGCAACTTTGAACCAATATTAAGGATAGATTCGATAGGAAGCCGATAAATTAGCTCCATGTTATGCCGAATTTTACTCAGTTTATCCTTTCGTCGATTTACAAATGATCCGTTTGAGTCACAAGCAGGCCATACAGTGGTGACGTCAGCTAGAGAGACATGTTTGATAATGGCTTTGTCATAATAATCATTCATGGATATCAGACAATAATCTACAAATACCTAGGGCTGGGATTTTATAAAATCAGGAACCCTCTGAGTTTTCACTTTTCGTCAAAACGACCGCGCTTTAAATCAAATTTGAAAGGCTGAGTGTTTTTTTAAACGTCAATTACACTTACAGCCGAGCTGTTGCGCTACATACTATCGGCAGTTGGCTATCTAAGATAAATATCAACTAACCTTATAGTTCGCGTGTAACTATAATTGATTTCTCTTAATAAAAAATGACAGGCGGTTTGAATGAGCTGATCTTGTCTCGCTTCCATTCTAAGCTGTACCTACTCTAACGTTATTCATTTTTTATCAAAGAGATGTGATATCATTTCTTTTCACAATTCGCATAGCAGCTTTTATTGAGGCCAAAGCAGTTCAAATAGAACTATTGTAACCACATGTGATCATAAAGTATGTTAATTGTTATACTCCTGTACGAGCTGTGAGATTGCACGAACTGAAAAAAAAACTTTGAGAATAATGGAGAATAATTAGATCCAGATCCATTAGCCTGGTACTCTGAAGTTAAAGGAAGGGCGCACATAACCTGAATAATAAACTTGAAGGGATCGAGTCGCATGTCTATGTTTTAATTCAAACAAATTGTGCGAGCAGAGCTCTCCTACCGGAATCGAGATTCCATTGGTCAAGAAATTAAAACAACTAAAAGTTTAATATAAATCTGTCAATCAAAAACTCGGTTGGCAACGCGTCAATGTGTTTTCATCATGAATTTTGTCAGTTTGATATATCATGAAGTTTGAACAATTAGCCTCTTTAATCTGCTCCTGCTAATTTCATTGTGTTTATTCTTTTAAACCAATCACAGATCAGCCATTGATTAACTAAAATCAAAAGTCGAGAGAGCTGCATAAGACTAAATCACTGTCTCCAAAAGTGCTCAGGAATGCGTCAATTATTGATTAAAAACACCCCCCTTCGGCACTTTCATGAGGTAAATTGGCTTAAAATGTGCAATAAGAAGACAATTTAGCCGAAATGTCTTAAAGAACTCTTACCGACAAATCAGCCTTCCTTTCTCCCTTCAGCCTTGAGAAGGAACTAAACTGAGAACCAGAGCTCATGTTCTCTTTTAACCTATTTCTATCCGAGATTTTAACATGTCGTTTCCAGTGTGATAAGGAATTCAGCTGATTGCTGTAAAGTAAACAATTTTTGTTTCAACTGCAAACACGCATTTGCGCCCCAAATACGACGACCGAACCATTTAGTGAACATGGCCGTTAGAATTAACAGGGGCTTTTATATACTCTCCTTTTCACTGATCGTCTTAATGAAGAACTTTGAAGTTTCATCAAAAGGTTGGTCTATCTATTCTGTAGACTTTTGTTTTAGAGACCGATCAATCATTTGATTAGTGGAGCAGTTTCTTCATAACTCCTGTTTTTCGGTGTGAGTGACAAAACTTCTTAAATTTCGCACCTTTGATCCTTTGCAACTGAAAGACTAGAGCTGCTATTTGATTTACGTCACGTTGGCTGGGGGCTTTTGTCACTTTGGTTTTCAACTGAATCATAGTATGGTCTAGGTTTTCAGACAAACGAACCTAACTTAGCGATCTTTGCACCTGAGTTATACGTTCCTTGATCAAAAATTCATTTAAGCAAGGAGCCTTTTATACACCAAGTTGGTATCAAATCACAGTAATCTTCAGCTATCATGCGCTAATGGAAGTGCACCCTGCAAATTAACTGTGAATTTTTCACACAGACACAAATTTCAATCAACTTGTTTGAGCACACGTTGGGAAAACACTTAATGTTGTTTTTGCCTCAACCAAAAAAAATTTCTTGTTTATGTACGTATCAGAACAATTCAATGTCAATTACCTGGCTTAAGTTTTATGCTCATCTTTTCTCTCCGAAAAGTACTCATGAAGATGACACATTTCATAAAGACTCTTAGGATGGATTCATGTCTCGGAAATGCTTGTTTTAGATAATCCGTCATTTCTATCGGACTTTTTAACAGGCAAAGCTAATCTGCATAGGAATGAAATCAATCAAAAGATGATTTTATGGACCGTAGTGAGACTAGTGCCATTGCAAAAAGTGCACACTGTTTCTCGATAAGTTTGCGTTAATCATCCTGAGAAAACTTCAATTCCTCGGCACGTCCAACTTACCAAAAGATATATCCTCGCCGACAGATACTACAAAAATAAGTACTGAAGGTTCATTGAATCGTAAAGTATTTATACTTAGAGGTCCTTAGACTCGAATTGACTGACCGAAACTAGGTCTCATAATGTTGACGTCTGACCAAATATTTCGTTCTTAGATTGTCACAAGCCACTTGGATTAGCGGATGGACGAATAAATGACACTCAGTTAACTGCCAGCTCAGTCTATGGAGACAACTACACTCTATACGGGCCTGGGCGAGGGAGACTGAATCAGACTGGCGGATATCGAGCTCAACCAGGGGCAAATGTTTCGTCATTTACAGTGAAATTTGATCAAGCTATGATTATAACTGAAGTAGCCACTCAAGGCTACAATGGAAAACATATACAAGAATGGACTAAGGGATATCACCTAGGATATTCAATTGGATCCGGCACACATTTCTTCAAGGAGAAAAACGAAGACCGTGCAAAGGTAACGGAAAAATTTCTTTATATCAAGGAAAGATTGATACAGATATAGTTGGCGACAAAAAAGAAGTGAAACAAGTTAGGTTTATCTTTCCTGAACGGAGCAATGTTAGATTTAGGCAAGTTAATGCTACTCATAAATCTATTCATTAGTCAATAACAATATAATGGACAGTGAAATGTGACAGGTATCTAGCACGAGACTCTCAAAGGCGAGTCAGTCGTGACACTGACCTCGCTCTTTTGATATATTGATACACAATGTAGATTTAACAAACATTTCTCTACAAACATATCTTTATTTTTCGTCAGCAATTTATAGGTAACGTGGACGATAACGCTATAACACGCCACGTGGTGCCAAGGCCGGCGATGGTCAAATCAGTTCATGTCATACCAATTCAATGGGAAAATAACTTTGCTCTAAGACTGGAATTATATGGATGTATTGCAGGTTGGCTCATGCAATCAGTTATGTTTGAAAGCTTACCAAGTAAGACCTCACGAAAATTTTATTTTACGAGGGAATTTGCAAGGCCCGTTTGCTAAATGAGAAGTAAAATTTGGCGCTTTGTATTTTTCTAAAATATTAGAGAACGGAACGCTTTTCAATTTTCGGAAGAAATTGCTGCGAGAAGAATTACCAATAGTATGGCAAAACAAGAGGAGCTGTTTTAAATGTATTTGCACACATTCTAAGACAAAAATCACTGTCTTAAACATGAATGTGCGGAAAACGCTTCTGAAGGAAAAATCCTCTAACCCCTAAAAAAATTAAACAATTTTGAAAGCCAGCGGCAGAAGTCCCTCTTTTTAATTAAACGTTACCTCAGTAACTTGTACGATTTTCTTTTCTTCTTGAGGTGGTGTCTTTGCAGGACCAAAAGAAACTCGCAGAAAAGTGAAGCAACACTATTTTTATAATGGACAGTTTGTTTCTTTCTTTCACTGTAATTCATTGAAGCATAATTTAAAAACTTCCTCATCTATTTCAGATGGAAATGAATGTGAAAGTCTTCCATGTCAGAACAACGGTACTTGTTGGGAACAAATCCGAGGATATAAGTGCAACTGCTCTGATGGCTTCAATGGCACCCACTGTGAAATTAGTAAGTATTTTTTCATACCGTCGGTTTGATTTATTTATATTGTCTGAAATCCATCATCATAATATGATAAGAGCTTTTAGATATCTCCTCCAGCCTCCGCCGCTTATGGTGTGGCCAAATATCGACCATATTATCAGTGCTATTGGCCATATCTTTCTGATTTTGTTTCCCAGACATTGATGACTGTGCGACCAGTCCCTGTCAGAATAATGGCAGTTGTTTTGATTTGGTTAATGATTACCAATGCCTTGGCTGTTTGCCGGGATACTCTGGAAAGAAATGTGACACAGGTTGGTAATCATGTCATATTTTTATTCATAAGGGGCCTGCAGTGCAGGTGTTTGCATCATTTAGATTGTCAATTGTAACCCTTTTAAGTGAGAGTGTCATATTGACACAAGAAGGGTTAAGTTTTAATGTTTTCTAGTGAAGTGCTTTTGGTTGCAGAAACAGATGAATGTGCTTCCAATCCTTGTCAGAACAATGGAACTTGCACAGACTTATTTAATGATTTTCACTGCAACTGTTCGGCTGGATTTAATGGATCAAATTGTGAAATAGGTAAATGAATGTTATACATTTCTTAGTTTTATATTTTATCATTCAAATGTCTTATATATGTGTTTTACTGTCAAAAATGTATTTATGCCTCAAAAAAAATGCTTTCCATACTCTTTTAACATTTATTTACTTTTTCTACAGCATTTCCCAGAATTATCAAATAATACGTTTCTGATAAGTTGGATCTTTTTCTTGCAGACATTAACGAATGCGAAATGAATCCTTGCGTCAATGGATCATGTAAGGATCTCGTAAATGACTTTAGTTGTGATTGTACTCCTGGTTTCACTGGAAAGAGTTGTAACATTGGTAAGTCATGTTGTTCATTGTGGACATATTGTTAAACAAACATGTTCAGTGGCCTTTTTTCACCTCTGTGAATGCGATGAATTTATTGAAACGATATTCTTGTGTTAGAGCTAAACGAATGTGGAAGTAACCCATGCCACCAGGGCGCTACGTGCAAGGATCAGATCAACGGTTTCACCTGCGCATGCCCTGCAGGCTTCGGAGGACCAACATGTAGTCAGGGTAAGTAATTTCCCGGATGTAAAGGGAGAAATAAGGAAAGGGATTTTTCTGTCATCAAGGATCGACATTCAGTATATAGGCGACCAGATTGCAATTTATTTTCTACTAAATAATACCAATGTTTTCGACATTTCCATGCCCCTATTTTTGTGGAAAACAAAATACCAAGGTAACAATGAAAGCACTTAAAAGTGTAAACCAAACATATAATAGAAATTTCGATCCATCTGCGGCTGCGATTGCTACATGAGGGTCTCCATGAGGTTAACTATTAGCCGCCTTATAACGAAAACAAAACAAGTTAGCCGTTAGACGTAAAAATTGACAAATTTTAACCGTTAGCCGTAAATTAAAGCCATCACCCCAAACCACGGTTTTACGCATTCTTTGGGCCTTAGACTTTCTTCACAAGAGGGTTGATTTAATTAAATAAATATCCTTCAACTGTTAGCTTTCGCCTAACTTAACACCGTTCACAAAAGAAGATGTTCAGATAAAAGGTCCAGGTAAACTAAGGATTGTTTACGACGCGGTTTTGTTAAAAAAAAGGCTGTAACCGCCGCCTGGTTAGCTCAGTTGGTAGAGCGCCAGTCTGTTGTGCGGGAGCAGGTAATTTAGTGTTAACAACTGGGTTGAAAACGTAAATTAGCCACCGTAAAGGGTAAAAAAGCTGACGTTTCGAGCGTTAGCCCTTCGTCAGAGCGATAGATGTTGTGCGGGAGGTCGAGGGTTCGAGCCCCAGACCGGACCAACACTCAGGGTCTTAAAATAACTGAGGAGAATGTGCTGCCTTTGTAACTGTACCAGCAAATGGTTCTACATTCAAGTCTTCTCGGATAAGGACTATAAACCGTAGGCCCCGTCTCCTGCATCTTCAGTGTTACATGGTCAGCAGGGGACGTTAAAGAACCCACACACTTGTCGAAAAGAGTAGGGGGCGTAGTTCCCGGTGTGGTGGTCTATCTGTTGTTACATTGTACATTTCATGCATGGGCTGGGTGGGTGAGTGAGATCAAATATGGACTGATAGCGGCAGCCAGAGGCGCCTTTACAAGCTGACGTTCGATCTCACTCAATTAGAATTGTAAACCGCCTTGAGACAGTATGTGATATGTGCGGTATATAAATATACATTCATTCATTCAACCTTTATCTACATAAACGGCCCTTTATGTTTCGGAACGAGTAGTTAATTGTGGGCTGCCTTTAGTATGATCATTTTTTGACTACGCTGTCATTTCAAGTTACTATTCAGCTTGGAAGAAAAATCTTTGTGGCAATATATCGCTACTACGATATATTGTAAAGAGGCTTCCATCGCTCCAGGATAAATCACTGTAGCTTTATTTCGCTTTAGCGATATTTCTTGATAACATAATAAGCCCTTTGACATATGGACGATATATTGTTGTGGCGATGTTCCGCTGGAGCCATATATCTCTGAAACGAGATACCGCTGGAACGATATATTGCAGGAAAGCCCCGGTATCTAGTCGATTTATTATTCTCATGTCGCGATAAAATGCGCGATATATCGCGCCATTTTCAAAGATAATTGTTTGCATAACTTTTTCAGGCTGAAAAAATTACAAATTCTAATTTTCACTAATTTGTCTTTTCATGACGTGTGTGACACAGAGACTGAATTCTTTCTGGTTGTGTGGCTTCAGTTGAAGAATATGACATTCACACTTGCCCTTAAGAACGAAAGTTCTACTCTGTACCAGAATAAGCAAGATGAGGTCATTCATGAGGTAAGTAAGTTAGAAGAATTCTGAATTTATCAAAGTCTTAAGATAATACGGAAAAATTGCGAATCAACTCTTGCAAAAGTGACTCACAATTGCAATAAAGTACGTAAATGAAGATCATCAATGTTGTAACTTATCCGCTTTAATTTAATCATTACGTTGAACTGGCAAGGGTTAAAGAACGTAATCTTAGCTCTGAGCCGCTTTCTTCGTTGTTGATATCTTTCTGCAATTTGTATGATTTCTTTTTAAAATAAGTCATCACGCCAATCAAAATCTTGATTTTTCTCTCATTCACAACGGGTTATATTTCGTTATGTAGGTCGATAACTCCTTGTTGTTTGATGAAAGCGATCACTTCTTCGGTTCAGCTTTAAGGATATTCAGGTAAATGAGTTTTGAGCGAACGACAACTCTTGAAAGTGTCACATAGCTTCCAATCATTGCCTGTTTTTGTTAACATGGAAATATACTTCACTTGTGTTAAATTTTTTCACTCTAGCTTTTTCGTAAGCATTAAAATTATACAATTTTCTCCTTCAATACTTGCTTACCATTGCGAATAACAAAAGTTGATTATTGAACTATTCAGTTGAGTCGGAATGAGCTTCTGATGATAAAATAAACAAAGAAAAAATTCCTATGCTGATTATCATGTTATCTAAGAGAATATTTAATGCTCCTTTTTAATGGTGTTCCAGTCCATCAGGGTCAAAACCAAATGTATTGGCAGAAATTCTTCTCAGGACTCTAATGAATAGCACAAAACACATCACGGCCGTTGTTACGAAGAAGCTTGGGTCACACACGTACGTGGGAATTTTTGATCCTGTTAATGGGCCGGTATTTGAAGATAGAGGTAAGGGGCAGTATTTCTAAAAACTAGCGTTAGGTTTTTATTCAGTTGGGTGCAGCTCTACTTTTCAGTGTCTTTCTCTTAATTCATTACAAGCAAAAATGATAGAAATTATTGTCATAAACATAGGTTGCTTTAGTACCTTCCTTGATTCAAAAACACAAATGAGCCCAAAACAGCAAAAGAGGTATCCAAAATTTCGCTAATACGTCTTTTTGTGGTTGACTTCCTTTGAAGGTGATCCATCCTGCAAGCCTCTCAACATATCTTCACCCACAGTAAATGGACAGCTTCTCTCTGAAGATATCACGCAGCCAACGAAAGTGAAAAAATCAGAAGACTTTGTTTTCTCCGCGAAGGTGGAATCATATTGTTGCATTTCTAGTTTAATTACAAATTTTCGTATCGAAATAGACATCTATGCCATCGACCTGATATCGGGATATTTTAAATACATGAGGAAATTGAAAGAAGTTATTTCTCCTAATGCTGACTCAGTAAAAGAAACCATTCCTAGTAAGACATTAAACTATGGCCATTACTTCATGAAGATCATCGGGATCCTGGATAAGAAACGAAAGGTCAGTAGTTCTGGTTACGTAGAAGTTACGTCCACTACTCTGGTGGCCGACATATCAGGCGCAAGCTACGCCTCTCAAGGATTTAACCATAAACTGACCCTTAATGGTTCAAAGACTCATGATCCAGATGTCGGACAAGGAATTTACATCGGAATGAATTTCACGTGGCTTTGTCGAAAAGAAAGCGAAGTATTTCCGGATGACATAGCAACACTTCCTGAGGTGTTCCCTCCTGCTGGCTCAACTCTTCCACCGAAAAGGAACCGTGAAGGCTGTTATGGTACTGGTATGGGAAAACTAAGATCAAGAAATGGGTTTCCGTACATCCTCGATCTAGATATCGATAAAATGGAAGGTGATGAGGATTACGTAATCGAGCTTGATGTGAAGAAAAGGGGGACGGTCGTCAATGCGCTCCATCGACTTCGAATTAAAGAGGAAATTCACTTAAAAGTAAAGTAAGTATTGATTCAACAAGTTTGATTATATCGGTAGTGTTTGGTGCGAAACACTTACCAATTAAAATCCAGTCATCAGCTGAATGATGTCATTGATTACATTTCTATATAAAATGATCTTGCGACAGCCGACACTTATTGTCCACAACAAAAATATCACATTCAAAGGCAGTTTTTATGAGAGGGGGTTTAACTCCATTATACAATCATGGTTTATTTCCTCCGTAGAAGAATTTTTTAAACCTGTTTTTTAATCAACAGCTGTGAATACTGTAAAAGTCATGTGATTCAATCATCAAGACTGATCCTGGAAACAAATTGCACAGGTCTCCTTTGCAACAAAATCCAGCAGTACTCTTGGTCAATCAAATATCACGTAGGAGATGATCCACACTGGCGACACGTAACTAACCAGGATGAAGTAGTACTTACGTACGACAATTCACCAAACTTGATACTGGCGCAGGGAAAACTCCATGGTAATGCCACCTATAATGTCACAGTAACTGGAAGAACCTCAGGAGGACATATATCCTCTGCAACATACTCGTTTGTGACGAACACGCCACCAAGTGGAGGAGAATGTAAAGTCAACTTAGCTCAAGGAAAGGCGTGGGAAACTGACTTTGTGTTCAGTTGCAATGGCTGGTACGATAACGAACTGCCTCTAAAGTTCACGTTCAGCTACTACAGCAGTGAGGGCATTGAAATGATTTTTCACTCGGGGACTTCAAACACTGCCATAGGTAAACTACCGGTTGGAGATTCAAACAGGGATTTTGAAATGCAGGTTCAGATGACTGTGATTGATGCATTAGGATCTGCAGTGAATACTGGTGTATATATCCAAGTAAGTCGAACATAATGTCAGCATGCATCAAACAAACAGCGGCAAGTCACCCGAATTTGTTTTCCCTCCTACTTTTATATTTTGTAGCCAAATATGTTCTAATAATTGTGGTGTAGTTTTTTTGTAAAAATATATTTTAGTTTTCGAGAAATAATTTTTTTCGTTCGACCGCTCAAATATGCAAATTTTCACCTTGAATATTACCCGAGTTGTGTGACCTCATGTATCGAATGTACTAGACCTACGGTATTTCTGTGAACATAATCCTTTATTTTATCATCTAAACTTAATCCCCTGTCGTTATTGAAGCTGCCAAGGAAATATTTATTTTTTGGTGAATATTTTTGTCCGACATACTTTTCCTATGTCGAAAAGTAGCATAAAAAAGACAGTTTTAACAATGACCGATATGACGCAATTTACTGAGCTTCAAGCTTTTAAAAGACCAAAGGATGGTTATTAAGTTACTGTAAAAATCTCCTTGTGTATTTGTGTTGTTCTATCTTGAGACGAACTCAAAGTCCGGCAAAATTTACTTGATAGCGACTATGCAATGTACATGGTGCGCCTACTTATCGCCACCCTTAATTGGCATAAATCACTACAACTTGTAAAAAAACCAAACATAACACTCTTATCCTGTTTATTTATGATTTTATTAGCTGTTTCGATGATCACGATAATTATGCTCTACCACATTCAAGCCAGATTTGAGTTCCAGTTTATATATCTTCTCTAACTTATTATATCAGTTGCGTGACAAGCGTAACACAGAAATTCAAAGATAAATCAACCTCCGAAATACCAAGAGATGGGTTTTTTTCCTCTTTGCATGACATCTAGAAAAACCTTTCAGGAATTACTGCATTCAGAAAACTAAAATGTCCAGATCCATCAATGATTCCTTCGCCGGCTGAAGTCAAAGTATGGTTACAGTGGTCAATTTGATTGACAAGCTACTTACTGATTTAGCTAACTGATCTGTTTTATAAGCGTTTCATCTTACATGCTAACATGGAGATTTGGTATTTAGTTAAATCGTTCGCTGGTGGAACTTGTGGGTTTAGTTACCGAGAAGACCAAAAAAGACATTTCATGTCACTTGCGGAGTTGCAAGTTTTCAGATCCAGAAAATGAAGTTGATCTTGTTTTGTCGCGTGCCGGCATCTTCGAGACGCCAAAAGATATCGATGATTTTACAAATTGCCCCACTCACAGATCAAATCTCGGTGTTGGGTGGAATCGTAGTTCCAATAGCTGATGTAGGATGCCAAAAGAAATGTCCGGCCATGGTAGAGGTAGGGTTAAGTCGATTCCAAAAGCTGATAGGGGAATTAGCAAGCGTGTATCACAGATAGCACTCAAGATGTCTGGAAAATTCATACAATCTGGCTTCGGTAAGTAGGTTACTTATCACCGTGAGCAAAATTACGCGTGACGTCAGAGTTAAGTCTCGATTGGGAATTGGTCAATAGGCTACCAAAAATTCAGACAGAGGCGGAGTTTTCTGAAGTAATGTCTGAACGCTTTGTTGGCTTTCCGCCGTATGGGGAGACGCGTAATTATGCACACGGTGGTAAAAGGCGTTTCCGCACCAGCGACTAGACGCTGACAAAACATGTTTCTCTTCGCCAAAATCACATCAGAATTTGTCCTTGCTAAATGTCAAGTGTGCTGCACGTCTTAGCACCCCCAGGGGACCCCTTTACATAAGAGGGCGGGGGTGCGCGCCTGGAATTTCGAAAACGATCGCTATAAAATTATAAAAGGTGCTTAAGTCTTATCTGTGTGGAAGTGGCAATAATTAGCCTGTAAAAACAAGTCTTTATGTCCTTTTCTGTCTTTTTCAATGCTTCCCTCGCTCCTACAGAGGATTCATACAAATATGAGAGCCGTGCCGCGTTTACATTGTACAGGTAGAAAAGGTCGTCCAGAATGAGTCTGTCGTTCTGTAATGAGTACCCTAATAAACTCACTCAGAAATGACCCATTTCGAATAAATTTTACGCTGGTTATTATGTTGCAACCAGTATGAACTCGTTCTTGTACAAAACTCATTCGGATATCATGTAAAAGGCCCCTAAAAGTTTTTATTCCCAGAGCATCACGCTTTGCTCGCCTGTCTGAATACTAAAAAATTCAGTAGCGTTGAAGCAACAACCCGCTTTTAACTGCTTCGCTGCCGCTGAAACAACGATTAGTGAAGAAAGCACATAATTTAATATTTTCAATTCAACGTAAACAGAAATCTTCATAAATGGTAAATATTCACTTGTGTCGGTATCAACTATTGCGTGACCAGCTTATGATGTAAATGAGGGAGGGGAAAACACAACGCAAAACCTTAGCTCCTGTCAAAAAGTAATACCCAGACGTAATATAATAATCGAAGCGGCTAGTAAAATCATATATAAACAAGGCAAGAGTGTTATGTTAGACTTTTTTACAAATTATAGTGATTTATGCCAATTAACGGTGGCGACAAGTAGGCGCACCATGTAAATTTCGTAGTCGCTATCAAGTAAATTTTGCCGGACTTTGAGTTCGTCTCAAGATAGAACAACAAAAATACACAAGGAGGTTTTTACAGTATCTTTATAACCATCCTTTGGTCTTTTAAAAGCTTGAAGCTCAGTAAATTGTGTCATATCGGTCATTGTTAAAACTGTCTTTGTTTTGATGCTACTTTTCGTATGTCGGTCAAAAATATTCACCAAAAAATAAATATTTCCTTGGCAGCTTCAATAACGACAGAGGATTAAGTTTAGATGATAAAACAAAGGATTATGTTCACAGAAATACCGTAGGTCCAGTACATTCGTTACATGAGGTCACACAACTCGGGTAATATTCACGGTGAAAATTTGCATATTAGCGGTCGAACGAAAAAAGTCATTTCTCGAAAACTAAAATATATTTTCGCAAAAAACTACACCACAATTATTAGAACATATTAGGCAACAAAATATAAAAGTAGGAGAGAAAACGAATTTTGGGCGACTTGCCACATTATTTCAAATTTGTGCGATGGATGCTGACATCCTCTCTTAAGACTGTTAGTCATTCCACGGGTTGAAACGATTTATTCAAAAATGGAACTTAGCCACCAATCGTATTTAGAAAGCTTTCACCGTTAAGGGTAGAATATGTTATACACTCTCTGCCATAACTTTGGTTTAAATTTAACTGTCTTTCGGCAAGTTGGCTGTCTTAATATCAGTTCTGAGTTCTATTTTTATGAAATTTCTTGAAATTTAAATACAAATAGCGTGAAAGTTGGTTATGCGTGGATGACATTTAATAAAACTTTCGTCTGGGTTAATCGGCCGACAGAAAAACGAAGCTTTGCGACGAGAATCGTGCCTTAGTCGCAAATCTGATTAAAATCAAATGTAAGATTTCACAGCTTCTAACATTCTATTGCAACTTTGAAGGTTATTGAGCCTGAAATATCCGTCGAGACTCTTAACAAAGAGGTGTCCACAGGAGGACCAATGAATGGATTCCTGAAGGAAAATAACATTAAGAAGGCGGCACAAAGGGCGACATCTGTCTTGTCAGTGGTAAATCACGCACCAGTGGATGACATGAAGTTAAAACAGAAGATTAAGGTTCTTGAATGTAGATATTACTAAAAAAAAAAAAAGGAAAATTTAAGTCATTCAGGGGAATCCCGTGATAAGGCCGTTATATTTCTAGCATTTGTTATTATTGTTATTTTTCACTTTTTAATTTCTTTTTTTTTCGGCACACGCGAACGCCTATGATTAAATCTAAATTATCTCACAATTGTCCAATGTGCAGGGAATATCGACTTCAGTGAACTAACGAACGATTTGATACCAAGAGCAAAGGGATAGATTTCCTGCCGTGCAGATTTTGGCGGGTTATTCTCTTGTTAATACGCATATTCAGCACACAGTACAAGATATCCCTGTTTACAACCTTTCAACCCCGAAATCGCACATACTAAGCTTGGGCCGCCTGTGGAATCAGGTGTTGTCTAGGATATCCGATCTCCATTAGAATAGCCAAAACGAACGAAAAGTCATCTTCTCTCCTTTGTTGTAGATCAAAGATAGCATTGTTGACGCTTGGTCGAAGGTTAAAGTTGCAGAGTTACAAGAAGTGTTGCAGGTTTCGGCGGTTGTTGCTGGCGTGGCCGACCAACGAAATGAGATCTCAATCGAGTCCCAGGTGAGAATCCACTGACTAGTTTTCAATTGTGTCTCAACCTCAGAGGTTTGTTAGTACATGTAACAGAGTATCAAGGACCGTTCCATATATATCTCTGCAAGTTAATTTGGATTTATTTGGACACTGTATGTGTGCCAATTTAATCGCTCAATTGGTCACCTCAACCTTCTTTCATTTCAAAGATACTGAGAGTCACACTGTGAAGTACTATCGCTCGTGTTCTCGTTTGGCAATGACGATGTATTTTCACAGTCGTTCGCCTCCAATCTTTGAAATGTGTTAGTCAGTGCAAACAAAATAAAAATATCCTACAAAAGAAGTTCTTGAAAGCTTTTATTTCCCTCGATGCGATGCATCAAAAAATGTTCGTGCGCACTTTTCATGGAATAATCGCCATTTCTTTTATTGTGCCCTTTAATACCAGCCTCTATATAAATCGAACTTTAAACTGGTGATATGATTAATCATAAATCATTTTAAATTCAGTGCTAAGTCTGATCTTATCCAACCGATGCAGATCTGTCCAAAACGTTTTTCTTTAGATTACGTGACCCTTATTTTCGTTTTTTTAACTCGTGAATTGCGCGCATGCGCAAGAGCGATTTGTTGACATGATTTGGAGAATGGCACTCGTTCGCTTGCTCGCTCGATTGGTTGATTCCTGTAAACTTTTTTTCAATTTTAGGCTTTTGAGTGCATTTGATAGTTTTTGGCGAGTATTAAACAAACGAAATGGCGACCTTTGCTGCTAAGAATAGTGGTGAGATGAAAAAGAAGCCAATAATAATCTTAAAAGAGTTTTTTTTTTTCGTTTTAGTTTCAACAAGCGGTGCTAGCGACTGGCAGGCGTGCGAGGATTCACACTAAAATAAGAGAACAACCTTCGTTTTCCATAAAATTGTAATTTACAATCCTTGACCTTAAAAACAATCCGAAGATTCATTGAAAATATCACTTACTCCGAAGCGCTCGGAGTTTTACTGGTGTTCAAAAGCTTTTTCTGTTATGGCGTGAGATTGGGGACAAAATCGATCATTATATTTCGTATCGTGTGTTTTTCCTGTGTGAAGCAACAAAAGGTGCTGGCGACTGACGAAATTACAGGTTAACACGAATATCAAATAACACCTAAACAAATAATTTTGGCTACCGATTTACAGTGGATTTTTAAAGAACATTTTTCAAGACAATTTGAAGATTCTAAATAGATATTACGTACCAAAATGCGAAACTTATGGACCACAAAATGGATAAATAGGCCTGAAATGAAATTCTATCTTGTTCTTGATTATGCAATGCCTAGCACGTGACCAAAATCTACCCAGGTGGAAATCCAAAATGACGGTGGCAGTCTTGGCTTAGTTATGTCACTCAAAACTCGTTCCCGTTTGTCTCATTTGATAAAGAGGGCATGTTTTGCATAAAAATACTCACAGCCGGAAAAACGAGATATATTTATGAAAAATGGCAACGAAAGTTGAGATGTACTCGGCGACTCACGAAAGCGTTACCGTTGCCCGTGGGCAGAGATAGGAAAATACTGACCGAGTAAAGAACCAATCAGATTGCAGGAATCGTTACCGTGCACTCTAAATAAAAAAAAAATAAATGTTTAAAACACATGACATCATTCTCCCTTGTCAAATGTAATAGCATGATCATTTCAATTGTAGTGCCTTCTAATCCCAACGTTACTTTGTTTCTTTGCTACATTAGCGAACACTGAACTATTGCTCGTACTCTAAATATGACAATCAGCTACAAAATTCCCTAAACCAGATAACCTTAACCCTAATCCAAAAAATTATATAAGTCATCTGTCAATTCACGAGTTTGCTCACAGAGCACTTTGATTTTCTTAACGCTGCATGTATTTCCACCATGCTAAATTGTAAAAGAATAACAAATTTACATTAACGTTTGCCCCTACCTCGATGGGCAGTACTCCTTAAAGTGCCCATAAGATTCAAGATGCATCCTTTCCCTTCTCACTCTAGGATAAGGCAATTAAATTGCTGGATTCCATGACAAATATTATGGAAAAAAGTGTAAACAACAAGTCGAACTCCGAAGTATCTGTCGAACATGTGGGAGCAGCACTATTAAATGGATTGGGAAACTTGCTGGACATTACTTCTCATGAAGCCAAGGACGATACAAGTGGAGAAGAATTACCACCAGTTCCAATCACTTATGAAAGAAGAGAGAAGGTGCGAGCTACAAATTCAATACTTTCCATTAGATTTATATTGTGTTACATAATCATTAGAAATCCTTCTTTAATAATAGCCATGTTGAGAAAGAAGAAATTACCATGCCAGTTTTACTCTGCTCACTGTATGAAAATATATTTATTGTTCTGAGTTCGACAAAAATTATAGGTTGGGTTCACTAAATGCATTCTTTTTTTTACCCTCACTCTAGAGCAAATCATTTTCCAAACGAATTTTAAACCTCATAACCCGTCTTGGTAGTACAGTAGATAACACAAAAAAACTGTACGAAAAGCCAAGCGTGCTCAAGTCCAAGTCTTTATCAATGGTACTTGACCGGCAAATTCCCTCAAGAATTGGAAATAAGGCTCTAGTGTATCAAGACTCCAAAGTTACACTTCCATCTGTTCAAGACCTGATAGGAAAAGACAGTAAAAGCAAAGAATATCTCTCTACTCAGGTGAGTTGAGACCTGGTGCTGACTTATCACAACATTCAAATATAACAATTGACGTAAAAAATACTGTCTACAGATTGACCCAGAACAAATATACATTATAAACATATCGTTAGGTAATTAAGTAAATACGATATATTTTGAAACTGAAAGGAAAATTTGATCATGAAAATATAGTGCCATGCATTTCCAGTTGTGTGTCTTACGTTGATAAATGATCGATCTATCTCTTTACGAGCTCATTTGCCTTTATGTCATCGGATTTCAGCTTGTCACCTTCAAATTCAATCCATACACGTGGACCAAAGGTGCAACTAATATAAAGTCTGTTGTCATCGACTTTGAGCTTAAAGACGAGGGAGGGTCCCCGCTGAACGTGTCAAACCTCTCCCAAAACGTCGAACTCTTCATTCCACCACTTTTGGAGGCAAAAGTCAAGAAGCCTCAGACATACTTCGTAAAACCGAACGAAAATGGAACGATGCGATTTCACAGAATTGTATTCCCAGGCCCTGAGTACGTTATTTCCATAAAGATCATCCCTTCGCACCTACACACTCTTAGATTATTTGTGCGATATGGACAGAGACCAACAATGACAAATTATAACTACAGCGCATCCCTTCCAGATTACAGCTCATGTAACTATTCTACTGAAAATCGCAACATGGATTGTAGCATTCAAGCGTTTACTGTTACTGTGTCCGCTGCGGATACAGGGCAAACAGGACTTCATTATTTGGGCATCACAGTTGGTGCGCTTCCCAACATAACAAGAAAGTATGTAACCGCTAGTAAAGAAAGACGTGTAAAGCGTGGATGCATGTTTGCCGGACGGCAGAAGAGATCTTGTGTAGGAGTCAAAGATCCTCCATCCACTCCTCCCCCAATAGTTGTCCTAAAGCCACCATTTAATGCCAGCACAGATGTCAATTACACTTTGTCAGTGTCTATGGGGACATGTCAGTATTGGAATGTAACAGCAGACGCGTGGTCAACGAAGGGATGCAAGGTTAGCTTTAATTGTTGCGGATGTCAAAAGTTCTGATGTGCCAATTAGTAGTCTCTCTGAAGTAAACCTTATAAACTTTCCGTCGATAGTAAACATATTTATCATTATTCAGTACTATCAGTATTATTGGTATTACATTTAATCAGGGCTTAGAATGTATTTCCTGAAACTGACCAGAACATTTTAATTATAGAAATGTTGATTCAGACAATTTTAAAAGGACCTTTTACATTATAGATTTTTCATCGAATAAAGCAAACGGTACAAAAATAATAAAATACGTTACGCTAATGGCCCTTTGATAAGATCATTTAATGCTTGGTTTGTTAAAAAGTGGTATTCTTTGTTGAAAAGGTTGGACCCGGCTCATCGGCGGAAAAGATACAGTGTCTCTGCAATCACCTTTCCTCTTTTGGCGGGAATTTTTTTGTAGCTCCTAATCCAATTGACTTCGACTACGTATTCAGGAAATTCCCAGATATTTTTGAATCAGGAAATGTTCTTGTGTTGGCAATGGTCCTATCCATATATGGTTTGTGGATCATCGGTATTGTCATCGCTAGACGGGCAGACAGAAAGGACGAATACAAAGTAAGGAAAAATGATTGTAACCATTTATTTCATTACAGACTGATTCAGCCGTACCTTCCTATGACATTCTTAAGTGACCTTGAAAAAATCTTTCATCTGCTACTGGGTTACATGTGAAGGGCATCTTTAAAAACATAACCCTTCCTCTGGCAGGTACTTAATTTATCCATTATATTCCAACCGTAGGCAATTGAAAATCTCCGGGTCCAGGCAGAGGGCGGACATCTGTATGAGGTTTCAGTGTACACTGGGATGTGGAAAGACTCTGGTACGACAGCGAATGTCGCTATGATCGTGTATGGTGAGGAAATACGAAGCGAGACGCTAAAATTATTTGACAGTTACACGAGCAAAAGGCTGTTTGCGCGAGCAAGTATAAACAACTTTATTGTCTCTTTACCAGACAGTTTACATTCTCCTCTAATGATCAAGCTATGGCACGACAATTCAGGAGCTCATCCATCTTGGTATGTCAACCAGATTATAATTAAAGATCTCGAAACTGATGAGAAATGGTATTTCTTATGCGGCCGATGGCTTGCAGTCGATAAAGAAGATGGGGAGGTTCAAGTAGACATTCCAGTTGCAAGCAAAAGCGACATATCAAGCTTCAAGTACCAATTCCATACCCGAGTAACCAAGAACTTTGTAGATGGCCATATATGGCTCTCTCTATTAACAAGACCTCCTCATAGTCCATTCACGCGCTCGCAACGGCTTTCCTGCTGTGTCTGCGTTCTTCTGTGCGCAATGTTAGCCGGAGCAATGTTTTATCAGTTTGGCGAAAAGCAGAGTGACACAGTTAAGCTTGGTCCTTTTCGCTTCAGCGTCAACCAGATCATCATTGGAGTCGAGAGCGCACTAATTGTGGTGCCATTAAACTTGCTTATTGTCACAATATTTAGGAACATCAAACTTTCACACAACCACACGAAAACATCTTACCAGAGTGACAAAACTGGAGAACTGTATACCGCAGAATCACACGAAAACAAAAAGGTTAAGATTCCCGGATGTCTTCCTCATTTCTTTGAGTACATCGCATGGCTACTTTGCATTCTCGCGTCCCTGACGGCCGGAACATTTATCATATTCTACAGCGTCCAGTGGGGCAAAGAAATATCAAGGCAATGGCTCACGTCAGCCCTAATATCGTTTTTTCAAGACGTAGCAATCATGCAGCCCATTAAAGTTGTTGTTGTCGCTTTACTTCTCGCCATGATCCTTAAAAAACCTCCCGAAGAGAAAACCGCTCAGTCATTCAAGGATTCATCTTTAGAAACAAACAACAATTTGGACGTTAAGGCACCCACGGGAGATGAGATTCTTCTTGCAAGGAAGAACAGAGAAAGCGTGGTGGAGACTATCAACAGCGTCATAGAGATAGTGCTCTATTTACTTTTCGTCATTTGCCTTTTTGTGTTGGTGTATGGAAATCGAGGATACAGTCGGTACCGACTTACAACAAGTTTGGAATCAATGCTTAAAGGATCATTTGAAGAGGTACCCTTCTTCCAACCAATATATTCTAGTCTATTGACAAATACAGTAGTTACTTAGCTTTGATAACTTTCTGACATGTGCTTCAACCCTAAAATCAAGCGTGTTCTCTACATTTTTAACATCAGTCTCGATGAACGACCTTCGTTGTAAACGTTCCGGTTCCTTGAAATTTCGGTACGTTTTCTCGAAGCCCATATTTCTCCAAATCTAGACTTCACTAACTCTACCTTGCAATCTTTACTTGACGGATAATGAGAGGTGAAATCCGAAATCTTTCTTCAAATGCTCGACAAAAAGTCGATAAACAGTCAGTACCTACAATTAGAATAGCGTGTTTTTTGAAGATTGGTCTCTCTGTTTTACCTTTAAGATCGACTCAAAGTTTGCATTTTGGGAGTGGGTTGAGGCAGAGTTTATTCCAGGCATCTACGATACCACCTGGTATAATGGTCAGCGGTTCATTTCACCTGAAGGTTATATCAGCACCAGAACGGCCTTCCTTGTTGGTATGCCCAGGCTTAGGCAAGTCAGAATTAAGGAAGGTAAGATTGCAAGTATAAAACCTCATCAGCTATTAAGCAAAGTTCTGTCCTTATTCATTATCATATCAGATTAAGAAATAGATAGAGAGGCAGACCCTCATACTTCAAATCCATATAGAAATATTGAAAATATCAGAGAGTTTACTGAGTTGATATTTACTGCACCCATAGTAATTACAAACTCTTCTAAAGAATAGAATTTCAAATTTGAATTGTGAATCTCTTTGTCCCGTCTTATAGAATATCCATGTCAGATGGGAAAACACTACCCTGAATTAAACGACGTCTTCAAGAGATGTATTCCTCCTTATTCATCCCATGACGAAGACACCTCATCATTGAACCAGCCTGGATGGGTACCGGTGACGAATATCAGCAAATACCATTCGGAATTTGAATTATCGAGGCTTTGTCCAAAACCTTGGCGATATAATTCATCAATGGATTTGAATACTTTGTGGTATTATGGAAGAAATATTAGGTACGATGGTGGAGGGTACGTTGCCGACCTTGGATATAACTCGAGAACAGCATCAAGAGTTGTAATAAATCTTAAAAGCAACAGCTGGATCGATGAAAGAACCGCTGCAGTTTTTGTTGAGTTCACTGTTTTTCAACCATCAAGCTCCTTATTTAGCGTTGCAAAGCTTCTTTACGAGCTTTATCCGACTGGAAAACCTGTTACCAAAGTGTGCTTCGATACTCTGTCCATATATGGTTCCTCTAACCCTGCTCTTCGCTCTATATCATTGGCTTGCCAAATTACCCTGCTGCTTTTGATTGTTTACTTTCTGCTGCTAGAAGCTGTGAAGATCTACCGACAAAGTTGTGCATACTTTGGCTCCTTTTGGAACTGGATGAACATGCTACAGCTTATTTCTGCACTGACAACGATTGCGTTTTTTTTCTTAAAGGAAAAGTACGTATCAGCGTTTGTAAAATACGTTCAGGCCAACCCATTTGACACGGCAAGTGCTGACTATGTACTTTTCTGGATCGATCTGGAGATGATAGTTCTTTCCATTGTAGTTTTCATTGTCACCGTTAAATTCTTGAGGATAATACGTTTTAACAAGCACATTTGCCAAATGGTAGCTTCGCTCAAGCTTTCTTCGCCACATGTCATGTCTTATTCAGTCCTATTTTGCATAAACATAATTTCGTTTGTTCTCTTAGGAGTGCTAGTATTTGGCAATGATATCGAATCTTACCATTCCTTTATGGAAGCGTTGGCGACATTGACTCAAAAATTTCTCGGTGGAGACTTACTTTATCATGACCTTCAATCTTCTAATCGCATTATTGGCCCTGTTTATCTATTTGCCTTCATGCTAAGCATGTCCTTCATCCTCATTAACATGTTTGTGGCTATTCTTAATGAATCCTATGAGAGCGTCAAGGAAATGTCCGGCGGTAAATTTGCAGACGCAGATCTGGGAACATTTATCAAGGAATATTATTTCACAAGATTCAGACGTTTACGCGAAATCTTGAAAAGGAAGCTTGCTAGTTGTGGTTATCGGCACAAGTTGTACGACAGGCCAAGGCAAGAAAAAAAGTCGACTATAAGGGAGGAGTATGTTGGAAGCATTATGTACCTATCAACAGACTATCCAACATACGTGGATTATGTAGACCATTCATCTCAGCTAGCACTAATAAACAACAAACCCGCGGCTGACACAGGATCAGCTTCATGTAGTGTTGAAGCCGTTACTTTGGAAGAAAGAGCAACTGAATTTTCAACTGATGAGCCAGATGTCATTAGCACACCTTCACCTCTTTCAAGCGATGAATTCGATGCGGAACTATTGGACTTGTTGAGCGATCTTCCAGAGTCCGTGGTGGCGCCCTCATTTGCATCTAATAGGGCATGTTCTAATGTGGACTTCATGAGTTTGTTTCGTGATTTGCCCGAGTCTATCGTGGACGATGACGACACAATTGATAATGTTCGTAAAGGACTCGCTGATGTAGGAGCAGTTTTGAGACTTGACGAGCAAACCCTAAGGAGATTTTCAACGACAGGTGACAAGTACATCGTGCAGGCGAATATACAAATGGGACTTCCAGTAGCTCTGCATTTTAGATCGCGGCGAAATTCAGATGAAAATGGTGTGGATATCGAAAAATAGATTTAATAATTTCAAAAAGTTAGGAAAAGTAAATGATATCAATGTACCAATAACTTTAATGGGAAACATGTTTCCATTCTTATTGTAATGAAAATAATTGATAACATAACTATTAATTCAAAGGATTGTTTTCATTTTGAATGTCTATCAAGATATCTTTAGGTGTTACAAGTTTATAAGAAATCAGATTGTGAACAAATAAAATATAAAAGTGAGCTAATCTATACTCTCAGTGCACCAGCAGCTGCTGCATCGAGTTCCCTTTTAGCGAGAGAGGACATTCCGAAATAAGCTCTTTTTTTTCAATCGATGGACGAGGTAAACAGTTACTATGGTCTTTTGATAATGAACGAGCACGGTTTTACATTTTCTATTGCGTAATTTTAAAAATTCAGAAAAAAAATCAATCGGAAGGAAAAAGTGATATGGCTAAAAGCATGCACGAGGCCTGTTACTCGAGGATGCAAATTCTGACCTTGAAAGCGACGACTCAAGGAATATTTTGAGTCGATGTCGTTTAAATTGCGGGCTCGTGCTATGTATGGTCTTTGAAAAAATTCACATGTGCTTATTTATTCCAAATTGCACGAGAAAAATCGCGTGATTACGTATTAATAATATATATGAAAAAAAAACCAGATAACTTTTTATAATTATGCAGAACAAAGCGGGCACATCAAGTGCAAAAACAATTTATTCAAATGCAATAAAGCACATTTTTCCGGGCTCTATAACGTAACAAGGGCAACCCGTCACATCTCATTGGAACAAAATACCGTTTTTCCTCAGTGTTTTCTGGCCTTCAAAACCACAGCGACACCAGTAAAAGGGAAACGTGAAACCAAACACTTTTTAAAACGACCACGGTTTGGTGAGTGACAATACATCGCTGTGCTATATCTTGGTTAGGTCTTCCTGCTCGATAGCTGGCTTATGGGCTGTGTTTTGTAAAACATAACGTTTTAGTGATTTAATTTTTGCATCAGGCATTTTGTTAGAGAGCACAATACGCAGGTCTTGACGTCATCCTAAGTTTCTGGGTGGTGTGCTAAGATGTCTTTCAATGCCATTTCTCAAGGATCTTGGGGCAGCTCGCGTCTTGTTTTTGCCCTCTAGCTCTTTTTTTCTGGCTTCTGCGAAGAATAGGTGGAGGTTTTTGCCTCATTCTTTAGTCGTCATCTCTGCAAGACTTACTCCTATGGCTTTTTGTTTACTCCATGATGTACGAACAAGACAGAGCAAATTGGCTTCTTCACTACCAAATTTAAAGTAACTTTTTGTATCAAATCTTTGATGGTTAGAATCAAAATCTGCAAAATGTTACTACGATGTCATTTGTAAATTCATGTAAACAACTTGAACTTAGACTGAAAATGATCAAATTACATGCAACGGGCTAAACGATAATTGTGTAGCTTAAATTTCATGTTTGAAATCTTTTTCGAAATAAAAATGAATTTATGAGATAGTAATGGATTGTAAATATTGCTTAATCAAAACTAACTTGCAAATACGCAAACTGCCCATTTATGGTTGCTTTTTTTCGCTTAGGCATTTCCGACAAGCGAATCTAGCTCTTCGTTTCCACCTCGGCAAATCTCCCCTTCTTGCTTTCCTCTGCGTTTTCTACAAAATTGGTATTTTTTCGACCGTAGAACTTCAAAAGCCTACATCAGATCAAAGTTCGGAAAATCTTCATCCGTCATTATGGAAATGTCGGAAACGTGTCGTAACTGTCACCGATCAAACGCGGGCTCTATAACAATAACTTGATAAAGCAAGCGCCCGAAAACTGAATTGACCAATCAGACGATGCGCACTATCCTCATCTATGTTATAGTTTTTATTCTAGTTCTCAAAACAGAGATAAGTAGGGAAAATTCAAGGAAAGTTTCCAAAAATCGTTCGACAACTTTTATTTCTGAGGAAATGATCTTAAATCTATATCATTTATATGGAACTTTTCATGAAGATATTTCCAAATTTTCTCCCGTTAAACTAATGCACCAGGTCTATTCAGACGAATAGAAACAAAATTGAAAACAATCACCATAGTTTTATATGTCTAAGATGCTTTCAGACCCTTTTAAACCATTTTGGAGAGGTAACATTTACAAAGAGCTTTCGAATTTGCCAATGTGAAGTGAACATAATTAGTTGGATGGTTTTAGCAATTCAAAACATACAGACTCCATTTACGAAGCCACTTTAGTACAAACTCTGAATATGTTAATCGATTTTATTACATTAATTCGCAATGGATAGGTTTTATTTCATCCCTTGCGCTTGGAGACATCTACACGAACACCTTCTTTACCACCTGCCTCAGCTTATAGTTGGCTTTTAATTATGAATCAGTCCGACCGATTATCAGAGAAAAAATGCGTGTTATAAACCTTAACGATTACTTTTTGGTACAACTGTTTCTCTATCAAGGAAATTCAAATTTATTATCAATAATTTTATATCTGTTCCACGAATTTCAGCAAAAAATCTCATTGGTATCAAGGGGTGGTATGCTAATGCTGTCTTTTCACTCTTGGTTCATCATTTGCTTGTTCCTTTCATGGCCGCGATATTTCGGCAACTTTCACATTTGACATGAGTGTTCAAAAGTGCTTTTTATGAATAAAGTTAATGTGTATCATATGCTATCATTTAAAGGACAGTCAGTGCTTTTACGGAAGTTTTAGCCTTTTTTGATATCGGCATTGGGGTTTAGGGAGCGAAACAATCTGTATGACAAGAAACGGAAAAAAACAAAATCAGCCACTTTATTTTATCAGGTGGGGTAAGCTATGTGGTAAACAAATGTTATCTCGTTGAGCAAAAGTAATACTCTTCATAGCCCGCTAAGAGAAAACAAAGAAGAGTGTAAAACGTACGAAGCCTCTTTATGCAAACAAAGTGATGTAAACCAGGCCCTTGTTTGAGGTTTATTGTTATAATCGACATGCAGTATGCAGGTGCTGGTGCTTGCATTGTCTGCTTTTTAAAATTAGATATCTTGATTAAAAAACGATTCTCCGGCTGATGGCTTATAAAGCCTTTTTATGTAAATAAAGTAATATAAACCAGGCTCTCGTATACGATTGGTTGTATAAATTGACATACTGGTTCTTGCGTCGTCTGCTTTTGAAAGTTAGCTGTCTTGATTAAAAAACCATACTCCGGTTAAAATTTAGTCTTCTCGTTTCAAACCTTCGAGCATCAAATACACGTCTGGGTCAAAGTTTGAGTTTGAAATTGTCTTTGAATCGTTTTGCAAGTAATGGAGGGTAGAAATTTGACCCTATGTGTTTTCATCTTTATCTGCTGGTTGCCGAACACACTGTCTAATGTCTGCAAAGGTGAGAACTAGTCAAGGTATTACGTAATCTTAAACCGAACTCATATTTAACTAACAGTTAAAATTCTCCCTAAGAACTTAAATCAAAGGGATCATGTTCCAGTGAGTTCTTATTTGGAGAAGGCTTACATAGCAACGTTGAGGAAATTCAAAATTTGTCTCATTTGGAAAGGCGATAAATGACCACAATCTATGACAACGAGGACCTCTGTCCTAGCAAATGTCGCAGACCCACACATCAGTGCATTTGGTTCTTTCCAGCGCCGTATCAGGGTTCAAACAAAAGGCTCGTAGTCTAAGATAATAAGTTTATGTCCTTTTCCAGCTTAAGAATTAAATTCGTCAGTTTTTTAGGATGGTTGCCATCTTAGCTGCCATTTTCTAAAAACGCATCGCGGCTAAGAGCTTCATAGTCATATTTCATTTTCTTCAGCAATTTGCGACGAACCTTTGGGAATGGAAAGCAAGAAAATAAACGACAACCAAATAACTGCATTAAGTGCTTTCAACGATGACTTCGCCAAATATGGACCTCAACGAGCTCGACTCAATCTGGCGTCTTGGCCCCCCGGATACAGAGCTCATCTAAGAGACGCACGGAATTGCTGGATTAAGGTTAATCTCACAAACGAGAAAATCATTACGGGATTGGCCACCCAAGGATATGGAGCTAAGTATTCTACAGAGTGGATAACAAGTTATATCGTCCTGTACAAATCTAAAACGGGCGAAATGCTGCCATTTAAAACCTTACAAGGAAACACAAAGGTAGGTTGGTCCCTTTTCTGGTTAGTGTTGAAGCAGATTCGTGATTATTATTTTAAAAGATTCCAAACGTTAATCAGTAGGAAAATCCATGGGCGTGTGATTTGAACGTGGAGGAAAGTTGATCATGCCCAAAAGCAGGCTTCTTTTTATCAAACAATGAAGGTTTTCCGCAAATTAAAGCTCTTTTTCGGTTGTAATCATTGGTTTTCCTCCGGATGAGTATTCTCTGTAGCTCGTTAAGTTGAGATCAAATCTGAATAATAAAATATGTATAAAGTAAAATAGGTTCTCGGTAGCTTATACTGTCTTCCGTTATACATGCAATTTACGATAAAAGTAGGAAATAAGCAAGCAATTTTCTTCGATTGAAGGCAAACGTAGATTGTATTATTTTCCACTTCTAAAGAATTTTACTGGAAACAGAGACAGTACTTCTATCAAACGTCACGACATTCCTTTCCCTACTGCGACGTCAGCGATTATGATCATAGCGCAAACGTGGAGTAGCAACGTTGGTTTGCGACTGGAGTTATATGGCTGTGAACCAGGTAACGACACTATAAGCAAGGCTCAAAAATGAATACAAATTTGCTCGAAATAAGTTCAAAGCTTTCTAATAAAGGCTTAAAAGCATTATTTCTGTCGTCATTATAATTGAAAGATATTAATGCTCATTTTGCTGTCTCGTTTTAGGATACTATTTTGTTGTCTGGCGAATGTTTGACAGGCGGTATTTTACTCCAAGTTACGCGATCTCGACCAGCAATGGATATATTACCGCTAAGGAAGAAACCCTAAAAGAGGTCAGCTCGTCATTCAGGATCAGTAGAAGGGCGCCATGTACCCTTACAAACTTATTTACCTCTATCATATTCCCATTCTTTTCTGACGAACTACCAACATACTATTATATAATTGGACGCAGATCGTTTAACTTGGCGCTCTAACAAACATACACGCGTACAAATCAGAGAGTAATCTAAATAGACACAAACTGTCTTTTTCCAGGTGGGGAAAACAAGTGCAAATTTTTATTTTCAGGGTTAGTAGTTGGGAAATTCATTGCGCATCATGAACAAAATTGGTTTTCTCAGCTGCTTTCAGCCGTCTTGAAAATTTGCAGCTCCCAAATATTTTATTTTAATATTTATTAATTGAGACTTCAGATCATGCACCTCTATTGTAATTACGATTTAAAACCATTTCTTCCAGATCAAAGATCATCTCCAAGTGATTCCAGGATTTTTGTCAGTTGATTTCGTGGCTTTCACGTGAGTTCTTCGCTTAAAATAAAACAATTATTCACCCTCAGTCATGCCCTTTCACAGTAAAGAGAAATAAATTTCTAGAACTTACAGGCGAAACCTTGTAGTAGTTATAAACCTTTTAGCTTCCTACTCTTTGCTATCCATCGATTAATTTTTAATTATAATTTGAGTTATAATTTGTTGTTAGAACTTATCACATAGCATCGTCCAGCGGCCAGCGAAAATGGCCGCAATTCGAAATATTTTTCCGAGTGAGGTTTACTGAAAATGACTGGACTTGTGGCTAAAAAGATGTATCCCCATTTTAGCTACTTTACTTCTTTCTTTTATCTCATGCTCAAACCTAGGACAACATGAAGGACAACATGAATAGATTATAAAAACCTAGTGATAAATTAATATGAAAGCTAAGTTGATTTCCTCAGGAGGCGTGTGGTTACAGATACTCAATTTAAATTCTAAACAATTACATTTTAATGACTTGTGTGCATGAAACTTTAGAAGTTGCGCAGGTGCGACAAATGTATAACCTTGATGGGTTGTACATTAACCCGCCTGGAGATTCAAGGCGCATATGGAGTCATAATCAACGTTCTTACAGAGCTTATCGACACATACGAAGTATTTGAAGAGTTGAAGAGTAAGTTTCTTACTTTTTGCGCAATTTTTAAAATTTCTCATTTTTTCCACTTTTCATTTACGTCAGTCCACATAGATCTTGGCTAAGAGAAACAGTACTCACGGCTGAAGCAAAAATATTTTGTTTGAAATCAAGCAGAGAAAATCTGGAGGCAAAGCTGAACATGGACATTAAAAATGGCAAAGCAGTGTTTCGATTTCCAAGTGAGTAAATATTACACAAACGTCATTTAATCGTATTTGATCCTCCTTAGGAGGTTAGGGATCTCACTCTTTGATGTCACAATCTTAACAAGTTTCTTCTTTAGAACGATCTCGCTGTTAAACATTAAAGGATATCTGACGATTGCTTAGTTGTGCTTTATTTACTTCACGCCTTTTTTTGTCCTTTTTTTTTTTGTTTTTACAGTACAATGCAATTGTTCCTATCCAGAAGTGAAAATATCTTTAAATAAGACGCTTACTAGTGCAAAGGTGCTGTACACGACTCAAAATATTACTATTCACGCAACAACAAAACGCGGAAATTGCCACAAGTCCCTATCTTTCCGGTGGGAGATTGCTAAAGCAGGTGATCACCGTGGTGAGTTTGGAATGCTTATTTCGCGAGGCGATATATTTGAAAGCAAAAAAGGAATTCTGAAGCTGAGAGGCAGTGAGTTCGGAGAGGGTTTTCTTTACATCAGATGTGCTGCATTCATTAGAGATTTGGCAGGTGAACTTGTATTGGAGACCTATGACTATGGGTATGTTCGTTTACTTAATCCGCCTCTGATTGCGCTCATTACTGGTGCTACTTCTGCCATAAAAGGAGATGGAAGTGTCGTGTTGGATGCGTCCAACTCTTATGATCCTCTTAGTATACAGAACAACAGTAACGGATTGATTTTCAGTTGGTTTTGTCGAAAAATGGACGGGAAGCTCACGAAAGCGAACACGAGGAGTTGCAATGGTCGATACTCAAAGACACCTTACAGTACTGGCTCCGTTTTCAGTGTGGATGTCGATTACATGGACGCTAATTATACTTACGTGTTTGAATTAGTTGTCATGAAGGATCGGAGAGTAACGCGGGCATTCCACAATCTGACTGTTACACCACCCTATATAATTTCCTTGATGTAAGTGTAAAATCACCTTCCGTAAAACTAGATCTTTCCATTTAATATACATTTTTCTGCTTAGTTGGGGATGGTACTTCATAATTTATGGTATTGCAATTTATTTAACAACTGCTTCAGCACTCATTACTTGTTTTACAACAGATGTGTAATTAACTGCGGTCGGAAAGTGAGCACAAAAAGGCGACTGATTGTGGAGGCTACATGCAATGGTCCGTACTGCGTCCAGGAACTGAGCTACCGCTGGACATTGTATCACCTCTCGCCATCGGAAACCGGTACCACTTGGCTTAAAGTCCCTAAATTTCGGCAATATGTGCTCACTGATCTAGACAGCAGTAATATCGTCTTTTCTGGCTCAAAGAACCCGCTGAAACAAAACATGAAGTACAAAATCGTGGCTTCTGTTCGTTTTCGTCACCGAATGATGGAGAAAGGTGAAATGGTTTTCATCACAGATACGCCGCCACACCACCCTGATGGTGAGCTGGGATGTCAGACATATCCTAGGGTGGGCATTGTCCTTAAAACAGATTTCAATATCACCTGTTCTGGATGGCAGGACGAGGATCTTCCACTAACCTACCAGCTAAGGCAAGGAACGACTTTTAAAAACTTCTTCATATCTCACTGCTTTAAAACTTGTTCATGGCTCCAAATCACTCATAAGAAAAAAATCGTGCAAAAGCATTCCCTGATTAGAGTAGTATTGATTAGAGTAGTATTTTAATCTGAGGAAATGAAGTGCAACGAAAAATTCAAAGATCTTTATTTGTTCTGAAAATGATGTTTTAGTAGCTTTGAAAATGAAACAATGTCAATGAATCGATGTTGTTCCTTTGTAGTTTTCAATCACTTGAGGGCATTGTCATAATTGCCAGAAGGAATATTTCAAATTTCACAACTAAGCTGCCTCAAGGGAACCAAACCGAACATTTCCAGGTTAAACTGGAGGTACAGATATTTGATTCCTTTGGCGATGCTGCAACTGTTGAACTGACAGTTCAGGTAGGATATTTACACATTTTTCGAGTTCCATGCCAATATATCCCCAGTTTAGTACCAAAGGATTGCACCCTCCCCTTTTGTGAGGACTTAAAGGATTATACAGCCTGAACTTTTGCCTGAATATGTCCTTGTTATTCATTTTATAATCTTTTAGTTTAAGTATACCGGCGTTGTATCAGAAATACTGGAACCTCACTAGTCACGCTCCACAGTCTGACTTGTTATTACTTTTCGAGCGACGAGTAGAATGTGAAGAAGAGGCTGTCACCGCCTCACTCTAATCTTACTATTACAGTGTCCCTTCTTAAGCTCGTATCAGAAGAATTTCATTTAACAAGGGTATACTGTTTAAGCAATGCTGTGACGGTTCATCTGGAATTGATAGAGATTAGAAGGCGGACGATGCTCGGTTCTATGTTCCCTGAATTTCGAAATTAAGAATTGAGTCCAGTCTGCAACCAACACACCAAAGTTTGCAAGCAGAAAATAAATAATTTTCAGCAAGAAAGGCTTATTTAATATATCTTCATTCATTGTTTCTCTTACCAAAAAGCAGTCGGTAGTACCTTGAGTTCAAGGCAAGATTACGATACTAACGTTGAGCGATTTTCGTATCAGGTGAAGCCACTAAGTGATACAGAGGTCATCACTGAAGTTGATAAGGCTATTCGTGGACCAAACAGTACAACTGCTGAGTTAATTACATCTGGAAACCAACAAAAGGCTGCACTGACATCTTACTTCACTCTTACAGCCACTGAGGGGACAGGAATCTCTCTTGAGGAAAAAGACTCGGTAGTAGAATATTTGTATCAATAATCTGTCCTTCATATTACCGTAAAGCAACAAGAACTACAGTAATTAGTTGAAAGCATTTGTCTGTTCCGTGTCATGTTAATTATGATTCACGATTCCATGTTATATAAATGATTCCATGATGATGATTAATGATTCCATGTGGTATACATGAATGCATTGTAATTATCAATGAACTATGTTATATTAATAATTAATTCGCAGATTTCTTTCGTGCATTTTTATGCAAAGGTGGGGTATCGACTATGGGTACTTGCATCAAGAAATTGTTAAAGCGAATACCATTTTCCTAAACTTAAGTTCATTTAATTGCCATTAAAGGCAAAGGATGAAGTCTTGAGACACTTGGCTGAAGTTAAGCCTCGATTACTCGAAGAAGTCACTCAACTTTCGGCAGTGGTTATCAAAGCAACTCGACAAAGAGAACATATGAAAGCCACCTCATTGGTAAGGATACTCTTGACACCAGTGATCTGTACACAGCTATGCTATTTACTTCGGGACTAGGTCAGTTTAAGTTGCCCAGGTGACAGTTAAAAGATCAACTATCAGTTTTTGCGTATACGAATTTCAAAATAACCATATATTTCCAAGGTATTCATCTGTGGTGATGTTTTATATACTGAATGGATCAAGTATATGTATACTTACCGTTCACTCTACGTCAGGTCGTCCCAATCATGTTAGGAATACGTTCCTTAAATGAACCAATTAAAGAGTTTGGTAACCCAAAGATAGGACATCATGTTAATGGAAAAGTTATGAATTGATTGAGGAATAAATCACCCGATTCAAGTTCCGTTGAGCGAAGCTTTATTCCCCTCTGCTAAAATTTGTTTCTTTTTTTTGGCCAGCGCTTAAAAAAAAAACTATGAATTCGATGCTTAGTCGTCTTATTAAAGACTCATAATATCTCCACAGTACAGTGCTGCTACATTACTTCAATCGATGACAAATCACTTAGATACAGAGACAAGAAAAAGCGAGGATATTGATGAGATACAAATGACTGGAGGCGCTCTACTGAACGGAATGTCCTGTGTTCTTAATGTTTTGACGAAAAGTAAAGCGACGGACACAAAACATAACCAACCGGCTGAAAGGATTGATCAGGTAAGACAATTTTACAGATCGCTAAAATTAATGAGAAGCGCCTGAGTACTAGGAGTGAGTTTAAGTCCTCAAGACTACAGCGAAGCCTAGAGAGGCATACCAAACCCATTGGTTTAACAATAGACGTTGTTTCAGACACCGCGCTTAATCGAAGATTCAGTTGCTCTGGTGGATAGTCTGGGCACAGCTCTTCTGTCAACCAAAGTTGTCGGGGAGTCAGAACCTAGCGTGTTTGAAACGAATGCTCTATCCATGGTCCTCGACAGACAAACTCCAGCTATGATTGTAAGAAAACATCTTCATAGCAGAACCAGTGGAAGTGGTGTTGTGTTTCCTTCACAAACAGTTCTGATGCAAAGTCTAAAGTTCCCTATTCATTCAGTAGATGCTCAGGCAAGTAACGATCACCTTAATTACATTGAAATGCTATGTCAGAATATCCGATTTCCTTAATCAAGTTTTCAGATTACATCAAGTATTCATGCAAATGTGACCAACTCTCCTAAGATCTATCTTCCGTTTCCTGATTCTGAAACTTATGAGACATGGAAAAAAGATCAGTCTATAAATCTGAATTTAAATTACTCTTTTATACTCTTTATTTCATTATACATGCAAGTTAACTTGCTTTAGTGTGTGCTGTTTAAACCATGGAGTTGACTGCCTCAGAGAACCATGAGGGACACTACTGAGGGTCTCTTATCTTTTCTTTTTAGATGCTCACATTTAAATATAATCCATTTTATTGGGATAATACGGCCAAGAATATAACAACAGCAATTATAGACCTAAGTATAAAAAGGAACGGAACAGAATTTCATATTTCAGACCTTGAGGAGCCATTTGAACTGTACATCCCCCTAATAAAACAGCCTGTAAGGAGAAAAAATAACACGTTCTTCGTAAAACCAAGCCAGACATTTGAAAACATTCGTTATCACGAAATAAGTATTCCGTCAGAAGAAACAGTTGCTATTATTGACATCGTACCCGATGGAAACAATCTATTAGATGTTTTTATCAGCGCTGGAGTAAGACCTACACCAGGTAATTACAGCTTCAGTAGTAAGATACCTCATTATGGAAACTGCAGGATATCTGTCACTGAAACTATGTTGGACCAGCAATGTTCACCATACAGGCTTCTTATATCAAGCAGTCTGACCGGCAAAACAGGAGTGTACTACATTGCCATATTGTTTCGTAAAAACTATTCTATTAAAGGTAATGCAGCAAAAGAAGTCGGCACAGAAGGGGATTTCCCGGTTAAACGCCAGTTGCCATCTCCTAAAGGTGTCCGAAAGAAGCGTTTTTGTGCCGATGTTAAGGATCCTCCAACCACACCGCCGCCAAAACCAAACATGGTAAACTCAGCGTACAATTTGCATGACGTCAATTATACAATGTCCGTGTCAATCAGCAGCTGTTTGTATTGGTCCAAAAAGGATAAAAAATGGACAAGCAAGGGCTGTAAGGTAATAAAACAACAAAATGGATGGAATTATCGCTTTCTTTTGACATTCCTCACTTTACTTTTAATTATATATGCAGTCAAATTAGTCCCTCATTTAAACCACTTGCTGGACGTACTCACGAATGCACAAGGTGTTCAAGCAAAACTCATCCAGCACCTTTCAATTCATAACATCCAAAATGAGTTTATCATCCACATCCCCGAAGTGCCTTGAATGTCACGAATTGAGATTTTCACAGCTGAGTCGTACCTTCAACACTACAAACAAACATATCTTTGTATCTTAGGTTGGCTTCAAAACCAATCACACGAATATCCACTGCCTTTGCACTCATCTATCAGCATTTGGTGGAAACTTTTTTGTCGCCCCAAATCCCATAGACTTTGACAAAGTTTGGTTGGAGTTTAAAAACCTGGAAGAAGCTGGAAACTTCGTGTTAGTAGCTGTGTCCTCTATATATGGAATATATATGTTGGGTCTACTCTTGGCCCGCCGATTCGATCTAAAAGACCAAGCTAAGGTGTGGTTCTAGCAATATTTGATTAAAATTACTCAATTTTTCCTCCTCCCCGCCAGGCCTTCAGCAGTTCTGTACATTACTGATTTTCAGAAACCATTACAATGAGATTTGTATAACAAACAAAGTGCAATGTTAGTACTATGAAGCTAGTTTTGTCCTGTAAGAAATTAAATAAGGGTAGAGGAAATTATGTTATCACTTGGGAAAATATCTAACGCAAACGATTGTTGGGTTAGACGAATGGCCTCGATCGGTGAACTTTCTGCTTTGATCAAGATTTTCCTCAAGTAGTTATTATTTGCACTCGGTGAGAATAAATCACAGTATAACTCAAAACACATATGCAGTACTTCTGCTTTTGCTACATTTAGACTTAGTGATCTCCAAAATTTATTGCCATCATTGTTTCCTTTAAGGTTGTGGCAAATGTATTGATGAGTGAATACAACCAAGAGGGTCACCTTTACGAGATACAAATTCAAACTGGAATTTGGAAAGGATTTGGTACAACTGCCACCGTAGGAATTGACATCTTTGGGGAAGAGGGTAGCAGCGGCCCGATCATCTTATCAGCTTTGTCGCTCTACGGGAAATTATTTTCTCGTGGAAGTGTAACGAATTTTGTAGTTTTTCTCCCCCGTAGTTTGGGACGTTTAAAAAAACTTCTCATTTGGCATGACAATTTCGGCTCAAGTCCATCCTGGTTTCTTCAGCAAGTCATCATTACTGAATCTCACGGAGGAAAAAAATGGTATTTCTTTGCAAACAAATGGATTGCCATTGAACGAGGGTTAGGAAACTTATGCGTTGAACTTAAAGCATTAGGGGAAAAAGAGCGCGTTGGATATCGTCATTTGTTTTATTCTAAAGCTTCAAGAGGACTTGGAGATGATCACCTTTGGTTGTCATTGTTTACTCGTCCACCTCACAGTCCCTTTACTCGTTGTCAGCGACTGTCTTGTTGTGTATCGTTTCTGTTTTTGTCGATGATAACAAATGCAATGTTTTATCAGTTTTCTGAAAATCCAGCACATACCTTTCACTTAGGACCACTGGTTTTAAGCTGGAGACAAATAATGATTGGAATGCAAAGCGGACTCATAGCAATCCCTGTAAGTTTCCTTCTTATTACGATCTTCAGGAACGTGAGGACGGATTCTGAAACTTATTCTAACCCTAGTAATACTCAGAGATCGTCTTCTCGTCTACCATATTATTTCGTATACATTGCATGGATTCTGTGTGCATTAATAACCCTATCATCTTCAGCATTCACAATATTTTATGGCCTTTCGTGGGGCAAGGACATTTCTAACCAGTGGTTGACATCTATCCTTACGTCCGTTTTTGGAGATGTTGTGTTAACTCAGCCTGCAAAAGTAATTCTCTTGGCTATGATTGAATCGCTCAGAACCAGATCATATCCGGAAAAAGAAGAGGTGTGTGGAAGGACTGCTTACATAAACCGAGAACAAGAATATAAGGCTCCAAACGTTCACGAGCTAACCAGGGCCAGGGAAAATGGAAGAAAATTCCTCAAGATGTGGAGGGTGATAAAAGATTTGGTGGTGTTCCTTGTATTCATTCATATCTTGATGGTTGTTTGTTACAGCAACAGAGATTTTAAGAGGTACCTGGTGACTGCTTCGGTGGAGGAAAAGCTCGGCGGTATGAATGAGGTAACTTAAGATATAACATTAATACCAAGGCGTCAAATCAGAATCAAAATAATCGCGGTAATTGAGTAGAAGACGGTGGAACAGTTTTTGTCCGTAACCCGTATCAGCTTACATTACAAGCGCACCATGGCGGGTAAAAAGAATAAGTCCACTATCAGCTTGTAATGGAGAAACTTGGCTTAATTTACTGGTGATGCCGTATCAAATTACTCGTTTTAAATAAACAAACAGCAACTCGTCCTGCACCCAAACCAAGAAAACAGAGAACTTAAAAGTCGCAATCAGGCATATGCATGTATAGTTTTGATCACTGATCACAAGGTCGCTGGACTGTCATTTCAGTACATGAAACAGCAAAAGTGGTCTCCCGACATTTCGCATTTCCAATAGGATTGCTTTAAGGAAGTCAGGAGTTCGAGAAATCGTAAAACAGCTGTTTTACCTCAGACGACTACGGCATAAGATCTTTGTTTATATGAAAATTGTCATATTTTTCACAAGACAAAAAAATCGTACATTTAAATCAAATCAGAATCATGAGGAAATTCTGAGATTTCATCCAATTACGAAAGGAAAAAAAACAACTGCTATGATACAAATCTTAAATTTTGCGCGCGCTTTTGTTATCGTAGCCCTTCAGGAAGAACAAAATCTATCTTTGTGCTGTGTCAAGACATTCAAACATTCTCTTTGGATCTTTAATTCGACATCGTATAGCAACAGCATTGTGAATGTAGTTTATTGCGAATTTATAAACAGATCCTTATAGAAACATAAATTCGTGAACATTTTGACTGCACCCTGGTATGCATATGGCTGAAACCGGTTTTTTATTACCCTAATGCAGTTAGTAGAGTATAATTAGCGTGCGAATCGAGTAAAAATACGCGACGATATTGTACCTTTAGTTGGACAGGTGGTTATTTTGCTAAAACCTGTTTGACAGGTTGGCTACGTTGGCAAGAGTTGTTTCAAATGTTTGCACAGAAAAAAAGGAATTGATTCTTAAATAACTTATTCGACGTTTTGGTGTGCAGTCTCACCAAGACTTCTTATGAGATATGTTTGTTCGTCCATGGATTTTCAAGGTTCTTGAAATGGAACGTATATCTTTAGAGGGATGAAAGACGAGTTCGCAATATCTGGAGTCCCGAAAAATCGAGGTTTGAGGCATCGGGGTAAAAAAAAAATCTTACTTACGCACATCCAACGGAAACACATTTGGTTTGAGATAACGGGAGTGTACGAAAAAAATATGATTCCGCGGAGTTTTACGAGTACGCGGGGTTCTTATAACAATGTTCTTAAAACACTTCTCCTCAGGTGGCAGATAATAATTTGTTTTGGCTTTGGACAAGAAATAAGTTAGTTCCTGGACTCTATAATGTCTCTTGGTATAACATGCAGCCCTTTGCTTATAAAGAAGGATTTATGAGCAACAAAGCAGCGTTCCTCATAGGTATGCCTCGACTTCGGCAAATCCGTGTTAAGGAAGGTGAGAACTAACATACCTCCTGTAAAACGCTTTATTATCCAACTGCACAAAGTATAGAGCAAATAATGCGCGAATGAAACATAAATATTCTGCGATATTGTATAGTTCGTTATTTTGCACAGTAAAAAAAACCTTACTCTTCTCTATCCACTTCGTTTTCCCGCCTTATGAAAGATTAATAGAAACACTTAGCAGAAAAAAAAGGCAATTGGATCATAAATAACTTATTAAACGTTTTGATGTGTAGTAATGCTAAGTATTTTCACTCGTTGTGTATTTGACTGACCTTACGGACTCGTCCAAATAAGGTATATCTCTCAAAAATACCCGGCGACAATACACACCAAAACCTCTAATAAGATATATTTATCAAATAAGCCCAACTATATTTACTTACTCTCGAGTTCGAACGACCATTAACCCAAAATTTTATTGATTTCCTATTTCGAAAGTATCACAAATAGATAAAAAAATCAGACAATCACAATGTTGTCTGTTTTATCATCTCCAAATATAATTCACTAGATGCAATTACTTTTGAATCCTTCTGACAGAAATAGATATTCATTGCAAGTCTTTCCGTGGGATTCATGAAAAAGAACGCGGGTCGAAAAAGTGTTCACCACATCATTCCAGAACCAGCGAAGACAAAAGTGCATTCTACCTGCCTGGGTGGATTTCTGTCGAAAATCACACGGTCCATTCTGACAATTCTGTACTTTCTCAACTTTGTCCGAAGCCTTGGAGGTACAAGTCTCCACAGACATTACAAACCCTTCCCTATCAAGGATATTTTAGAACGTACGATGGTGGAGGATATGTCGCTTATCTTGGCTACAATGAAAAATCGGCTTCGGAGATAATAGACAATCTCCAAAACAATAACTGGCTCGACAAACTCACTGCCGCGGTTTTCATCGAGTTCTCTGTCCATGAACCGTCCAGTAGACTGTTTAGCTTTGCCAGGTATCTTTACGAGAGGTTACCAACTGGTGGAAGTGTAACTTCTCGTGACGTGCAGACATGGGCTCTTTATCGAGCTCCAAGTGGCTTTTTCGCTGTATACCAACTGCTGTTTGTCATATTTTCCCTTTTGATCATATTTTTGCAAGTCAAAGAATTTGTAGGAGAAGGCAAGGCCTATCTTGTGCAGTTCTGGAACTGGATCAAGATTTTTCAAGTGTTTACTTCAGTTTCTGCGGCAGTACTTGTGGTGTTGAAGGGAAATGAAACAAGTCTCTATGTAAAGAGAGTAATAAAAAATCCTTTTGACCATTCCAGTCCAGATCATTTGGTCCAGCTTTGTTACGTCGAGAATTATTTACTAGCTATATTAATTCTCTTTTCTACGCTCCATTTGCTGAAGCTTCTGAAACTTAATCCTCAAATCTGGCAAATGACGAAGACGTTAAGAAGATCTTGGATATCCCTTGTATCATTTGCTGCGATATTCACTACCTCGCTAGTGGCGTTCTCATTGGCTGGATATCTGGCTTTTGGCATCAAAATATCATCATTTTCATCCTTCTATCGAGCCCTTGTAACCGTTATTCAGATGTGTATAGGTGGAAATGTAAACCTCACTGATGACAAAGTTCAGTACCCGATAATTGGTTTATTATTTATGTATACGTTCGTTATTTGGATGAGACTACTTTTGGTCAATTTCTTCATCGTGATTATAGTGGAGTATTACAGAGACGTCAGAACAAATGTAACGTCTCCCAACGCGTCGTTAACTGAATTCATGTGCAACTATTTCTCAGCGAAGTTAACCAAGTTACTGGAATATCTACCTTTTTACTTTAAAAGGAATGTGAAAAAGCGAGAATTTAAACTCTCTGACGACGTCTTCTGGAAGGAATTTTGGCAAAGAGAATTCGGTGCGGTGTCTCAAGATCTTCACACTTCACTTCAAAGTCTTGATCCAGAGTCAAGATCAACTTTATCTCAGCAAATCTTTGATAATTGTCCCAATTATATAAGTTGCCAAGAGCTCACTAAATCTAGTTCCATAGTGAGCGCCAATAAAGAATTGCTTTCGAACGATACAGAAGGGGAAATCGCACGATATTGGAATACAAGCGAAGAGGATATTGTCATTCTCCAGAGTTTATCATTCCCTCTGACGACGCCGTCTTCCAACGATACCCAACATGATACGAAAACGCTATTTAAAATTCGCCTCGTTATGAAACTGCGTTTTGCTGAATGCTTTTATGACCTTAGTGAGTTAGAGGTCGTACATTTTAAGTCCAACATTGTCGACATAGCTCAAGAAGTAAAAAGGATGCTGGCTTACTTAAGGAAGAGGTCAGCGCAACGTTTTGACAGTTTTCTTTAGTAATACACTTGAATGAATGAATGAAGGTCTTTCTTAAAGTTTCAATAGTATTTAGCTTGAAGAAAACTAATTGGGGACACTGTTTACGCATTAAAATATACCTACATAAGGTTAAAAAGTTTCTTCTACGCTCAAGAAAGAATCGTATAAGATTCTGTGATGCTCCGGAAAAGCTGTATGATTTGAGTTTCTGAATCGTTAGAGCGGGGTGCAGCGAGTCAAAAGCTTTGCTCATATCAGTGAACAGAAAATTCACGTACTCATTGTTGTCGGCAGCTATCTTCCAGTCCTCTGTTAGCCTTATTAATGTTGTTTCACAGCTGTGTTTTTCTGTAGGCGGACAATTTTTGGTATAGATTTGGATCCATGGTTTTTATGATTTGCTTGGAAAGTAATGATTCGAACACTTTATCAATAGAGTTCGGTACTGTTATAGGTCGGTAATTTCCCCATTCGTTTTTATCTCCTTTCTTGAAAACAGGGGTCCATTCCTCCATTTCCCACGTGTTTGGCCAATTTCCCTTTCTAATAACGATGTTCTAGAAACTTGCTTAGGACGGTGCTAGACCTTTGGCAGTTAACTGTACAATTTTTGGAGAGACTCCATCCCACCCTGTGGCTATTTGATTAAAGCATTTTCAGTTCGTTTTCCACTTCACCAGAGCTAATTTCGTTAAATCCAAATTAAAGGCGTTGCTAAGTTTGCCGAATGCTCGACACTCGGGTGTTTTTCAAAGATTTTCTCAACTTAGTTCGTTACTTATGCACCATCAATGGCATTTGCAACAGTTAAACACCAGTCTCTAAGCTCGTCTGCCACTACTCTCTGGTTTGTTACAATTCGCTCGTTAATCCTAATGGCAGTTTTTGTCTCCTCTTTGCTCTTATCACTTAAGAGTGGTTTAAAGGATTTGTAGAAATCCCTTGGTCTTTCCCTCAGTTCATTCAAAGTCTTTCTCAACTAAGTTCGTTACCTGTGCACCATCAATGGCATTTGTAGCAGTTAAAAACTAGTCTTCAAGCTCGTCTGCCACTACTTTCTGGTTTGTTACAATTTGCTCGTTAATCCTTGTGGCAATTTTGCCTCCTCTTTGCTCTTATCACTTAAGAATGGTTTAAAGGATTCGTAGAAATCCCTTGGTCTCTTCAGTTTGTCCCATATTTGGGCCCAGTGAGCTTTAATAGCTCGTATCTTCTCTTTAGAGGCCAAATTTCGCCATTTCCTTATTTAACTACCAGTTTCTAGAGTTCGGTTTTGGGCAAACAATGGTGCATATTTCCTTTTGTTCCCAATTGCCATTTTCCATTCTTTCGTCATTTATGGTACATTTTTCTGTCTAACTCATCTTCTTTTTCGGCATATGTTTGTCCAGTAAACTTTCATAAAATGGTTTTTATGCGTTACCTTGGTCCTCGATGGTATCGAATGTTTCTCCAACAGTCTAGGGAGTATTTCCCAAGTCCTCATTAAACGGATCCTTGTCGTCTTTCGTCTATCTCTGTGTTAAAAGAGCCTCACATCCTGAAAAGGTTGGGTTTGTTGGTTAAAATGACGTACGTAATCCTCGTCGGCTTGGTAATTAAACATTGCATTCCATGCACTTCTTCTAAGTCGGTAAGTGTTTTCCCTTCTCTGCTGTCCAGGTTCAGATCACCTGTAATAATAAATATATGTTTCTTGAAGGAAGCCCGCATGCAAACGTCATTCAGTTCCTCCTCTATACGTTCTAAATAATGTGCGTCTGGTTCGTGATCCGACTACTTTGGGGGTCGGTATATCCCAAGGAAAATGACTTCGTTGTCGCCGAGTCTAGCCTCTATTGCAAGAATCTCGAGTGTTTTGTATTTCTTCGTTACTTTTAGCGCTTTCGAGGGTGCACTAGAATCAAAATAGGCTATTATCCCACGGCCTCCTTTCTCTCTGTCTTTTCGATAATGTAACCCGTTAAGGTTAATTGGCTGCTCGGGTAGGACTTGTCGATCTTTGTCTCTGCGAGAAAAATAATTTGTGACTTAATCTTATCATTCAGGAGTTTCAGTTCATCAAATTTATTTTGGAGGCTGTTGTGCCTTTCTTGCAAGAGCAGATCAAATTCCTGTTGGCCACAGTTGTTAATTGCCATATTCTCCTGGGAGTGAAATTGTGTGTTCTTCATCTCATTTGCATTAGGTTGTAGAAGAAGCTTATTTGCATAGAGAACTTAGCATACAATCCTTTTGATTGCTGGTCGTTCAAGAAAATATTTAGAAGTCGATGTCGACATGTTGAGGCACTTTGCGTGAATCCATGGGCCACATCAGAGCATATTATTGCATTCTGATTATTTCGACTCTCTTCTCACATTCTCTACGGGGAAACTTTATCCGGCCTTAATTAAGATGAATATCTCCACAACTTTGTAGTCGCTGAATGTTAAACCAGCTCCGTTCATCATTCGAGTGGCGCACTCGACAAAGAAGAAATCGTTTCCAAGGCAACGTGGTCTTTGGGTAATCGGTCAAGTCGCCCGGAATTAGAGTCATGTCGCCCGAAATCCTAAGTCATGTCGCCCGAAATTTTATCTAGTGTTTAATCTTGAAGAAAAGTAACAATCGTAAGGAATAAACTTGTAAAATGTTGACTCGTAAAATGTTTTCGTCCGCTAACCTATGCAAATATGAAGTTAACCAAAGACTCAAATATCGCTGTTCATTTCAGCGTTAATCGTTGCTATAAACTAAACTGTTCATTCTACAGTAAAGATTGAAGAAAAGTAACAATCGCAAGGAATAAACTCGTAAAATGTTGACCAGTTAAATGTTTTCGTCCGCTATCCTGTGCGAATATGAAGTAAAACAAAGACTCAAATATCGCTGTTCATTTCAGCGTTGTTCGTTGCTATGAACTAAACTGCTCATTCTACAGTACAGATTCTAGTAATTAAAAGAGGAACACTCTCGGTAATCAGAATTTTTCACACATATCAGAAAAATACATCGAGTTCTTTTAGTTTAATTTATCGTATAAAAAACAACTTGAATCTTTTACAGCGGTTTTTTTTGCTTATTGTTAACAACGCGAACAAAGCGAGTTAACATCATTCCCCTTAGGATCAGACGCGGCATAAATTATCGCGACTTGCTCAGTTGTTCCTTGTTTCCTCGGCCGATCGCATGTAAATTTTGATCCGGTTAACCATATATAAAGAGGGTAAATTAATAATAGCCGGCTCATTCCGAGATAATCAGCTACCTGAAACACACGATCGTTACGCGTACGCAAAAGAATTATACAATGAGCCTTCATCCCTGTATCGAGTGCGGAAATGAAGTTCGACCACCCCAGCAAGCCCTTCAGTGCGAGGATTGCGACTTTTGGCAGCGTCGTATCTGCGGGACTGGTATCGTCCTCGCGTGTAGTTGCTAGCAATAAATATGTTTGTATTAATGCGTGTCTGAATTTACCGCAACGTTACAATCTTGCTTGGCAACAATGTGATGATTCTTGAGCACGTGCTGTATTCAAGATGGCGGCGTTTTCCAATGTTCCAGTCGTGGCGATGTGAACCTTCGTTCAAAACAGAATACTTCCACAGATAAAACAACAACAGTTAGAACCATACTGTCTCTGATATTACCATTTTTTTTTATTTTCGTGTTCTATTTTAGGAGTACTATCTCCGTGATATCAAACGACAGCGAAACGAACAACCCGAGTTTCACGAGTCAACATTTTACGAGTTTATTCATTGCGATTTACTTAAGATGTTACTTTTCTTCAAGTTTAAACACTCGATAAAATTTCAGGCGACATGACATAGGATTTCGGGCGACATGACTATGAATTTCGGGCAACATGATTCTGGTTTCTGGCAACATGACTTCGGGCGAGTTGACTTTCGGGCGACTTTACCGTAAACCGGTCTTTGTCTATGTGTTCTTTCAGCTTGAGTTCCAAATTTCGTCTGATAACTGTTTTTTTTTTTCAGAGGGTACGGTAACGAATCCTCCAATCTGGTTGGTTCTTTACCCGGTCAGTATTTTCCTATCTCTGCCCACGGGCAATGGTAACGCTTTCGTAAGTAGCCAAGTACATCCCTACTTTCGTTGCCATTTTTCATAAATATATCTCGTCTTTCCGGTTGGGCAGTATTTTTAACCAAAGACGTCCGTCATTACCTCAAGCCGATAAATAACTTATTAATCCTCTCTTTTCTCTCTCTCTCAAATCACTTTGGTTGACAGAAAAATATTGCTTTCAGGATTAACTTGTATAAGCAATAGTGCCATTACTTTGGTTGACAAGCGGCCTAAAAACCGTCTGCAATTAATTTTAATCGTTCACAGAAAGCACCTAGAGAGTTAAAACGTGAAGTATTTGGTTACAGTTGAACTAATCGACGAAACTCTCATTCATTTAATATCTGAATTTTCTCAAACAATTTGTTCGTAGTGAAAGGGCGAGCGAAGTTTAAATTTCAGTTCCACAACAAACATATGCTCTCGGTGAGTCTTTCCAAGTCTGTTCAATTTGGACATTTTAACCTTAAATTGCACAACAGAAACTGAAGGAATTCAATGAGAAAAGGCCGCATTGAGTCCCCTTGTGTTTCGTTGGAGTGTACCATTCGAAATTAGTTTTCATGGAGGAAAGACCAGATTTACACGCGCCATTGCAAGAAACATACGAGCAAACCCTCACAACTTCAAAAATAAAAAATTTGAATTTACTTACAATTACTTTCCTCGCCGTTTACTTAATGAACAGAGGTTAATCTTCGTACATGAATTAATCGTCGATTAGAGTGAATAATACTTTGCATAAGATCATTGACTGTTTTTGAAGAAAACAATGTCGTGACAGTCCTTGCCAAACTAATTTCGTTGTTTTTCAAAAGTGTACGTGCGCTTTTTTTTTCTTACGTGCTCTCTAATTGACAGGTGTCAGTTTGTGATAGATACCTGTAAAAATAATGTTTCAAAGTTTGTTTGGAAGCCTTTTAAATCACTTTATCATTTAC